GGATAAGCTGCAGCTGCCCCAAACAGACCCGAAATCTACTTTTTTATTAAGTGGGGGTTCAAAGAGACATTGAGTTGGAGAGTGTAAGAAGGGAGTGTGGGAGTTTTAGTCTTCGTTATTGTGCAGGCAATGTGAGGAAGATGGGATGAGATATTGACATTTTCGAAATTAAATCACAAATCATAATTTCAAATAAAAACTGTGCTTTATTGGAAATTTAGATATGAAATTTGCTTCAATTACAAGTGGTTCCTATTTACTTAAAGTCAAATAATGCCAAAAAAATTGTTGAATGTTTGATGTCTTTTATCTCCACTCAATGGAAGTCGTGATATCACTGATATATAATTAGTCTATTATGTTTAGAAAGTGTTAAAATAATTACTATGCCATGTTTGTAGGCGTCTATGTAACTATGTGAAGCACAATCATGCTCATCATAGTTACAGTCCTTACAGCAATCATGATCATCATCGTTACAATCCATCCATTTATAATATTTTAAATCCATTTTTGACATATTTACGACTGCAATTTCTGATATAGACAATTGAAAAATGATAGGAGTATAGATCTTTTTGCAGCTTATGTTATGCTTATTGAGACTTAAATAACTGCAACTATGCAAATCTAAAATTTTCTTTGTTAAGAACTTACATGGGATACAGCATAGGCATATTCTCTTCTTTTCTTCATTTCTGTACATTTTGATGAATTGAATTATTTCTGAAATGCTGGTATTTCTTTCTTCAGATTATCTATCCTACCAAGACATTTGGAGACGTAGTTATTGACTATCCGTAAGAACTTTATGCAATCTTTTTCTTAAATGAGCTTGTTATTTTTTTATTATATTATGTTATGTCAAACTGTAATGACATACAATTCAGGCTTTGACAGCATTCAAAAAATTATACCCTGGACATCGAAGAAAAGAGATAGATGATTGCATTAAAAAGTCAGCTCATTTCATTGAGAAGATACAAAAACCAGATGGTTCATGGTTTGTACTCAATTTTGTAGTTGGTAGGGATTTTTTAGGCTATAATAGGTAATAATTTTTGAGAAAAGTGTCAAAATAGTAACCTGGTTGTCTGCATTTGGGTCATTTTAGTCCCAGAGTCTATATGAGTGTCAATTTAATCCCAGACTCTTTTAATATGTGATGAAATAGTCCCCACAAAGTACTTTTTCCATATGGAATACGCACGCAGCTCTGCGTGCGTAATAACTCCTCAATAACCTCCGCTTCGAGGGGGGGGGGGGGTTTTTTGGGGTATTAATTCCAATAACTTATAACCCCAATATGCTTCCAATAACCTTCATGGGTTCTATTTCGATGTAATTCATAGGTTATTATGTGGATATTTCGAGGTTAATGGAGTATGCACGCAGAGCTGCATGCATATTCCGTATGAAAATATTTCCCCTAATTTAGAGAGTATGGGACTAATTGACATTACTATGAGACTAAAATGACCCCCATATAAATAGTTATGAGACTATTTTGACACTTGATACTTCTACATACGAAGGCCAGATGCATTCAACATTATGCGTCATTTTTTCATCATAATGAAATTGCATTTTGACTGCCATGCAATTGTTTACAGATATGGTTCTGGGGCTTGTTGCTTTACTTATGGAATACGGTTTGAAGTGAAGGGACTAATTGCAGCTGGAAAGTCATACCCAAACAGCCCTTCTCTCCAAAAAGCATGTGATTTCCAGTTCTCTAAACAACTAGTTTCTGGTGGTTGGGGGGAGCGTTATATGTCTTGTCAAGATGAGGTAATCTTTTTTTCTAAGTGATAACTTGGATACTGTAAACCCACGTATAGTGTTTTATAATTAAAATTTTGACTTGAATTTTTTTTTGCTTCTATTCACGAAATTCCAATTTGCTTTGTAATCTCCTTTTTCTCTAATGTTGTGCTGTTCTGGTTAAATGACATTCATATCAGTTCATCATCTAGGTTGATGGAAGAAACAAATTATGTGGGTTCTATTCTTGAATATTAAGTATGTTATGTAGCATTGCTCAACAAAATAATTTTAGCTACACTAATATTCAATATGTATAAAGTAACCATCCTTTGTTTTTGTTGTCACGACCCGACTCGAAGCTTAAAATTAATCAAGTGAAAAATAAACTGTCAGACAATGAGAAATTTATTTTTTTATACATTTATTTGTTATAACTAACTTTTAACAAATGAAAGTGCCACCAATTAAATTAAATTTTAACATTATATTTAAATTTACCTCGTTATTGGTTGTCTATGTCTTTTATAAACATCATCTCTTCTATCGCCCATCCTTTAATTGCTTAATTAACATGAAAAACTATTTTAAAATAACAATGAGCTAAACAAACTGTGAATGCTCATATTCATAAACTACAACAATACAAGGAAAAGAAAACAAAATGTATGTCAGTTAAATTTTTAATAACTCAATATTAACATTTGAGATGTTATCAATGAATCTTATTATATAAATAGCATATTAATATCATTATATATTTATATAACTGTTACAATAGTACTGTCTAAAAATAGTATTACTTAAGGTACTTCAATATCAATATCTTTTTTCATTTATGTGCATGAGTACATTTGTGTTCTCACACTAGTACCATAAAGGGTTGACTTCATCATGGTCAATCATGCACATACAAGTATATAATAAAGATACCAATTTCTAAATATTTCATTCTCATTTGCATAGCAGTCAATATTCTTCCACAAGATAATTTAAACAAGGGTAAACATACATGTAATTTTTACAATATGAACAAAATTCAATAGAAACTTAAATCATGAGTATGCAGTATTATAACAGTAACATTAAATGCATTTGGTCGAGAAGAAACAAAATATGACTATAGCGAAAGAATATGAGTACTCACCTCGATGTTAATTTGACTTGATGTTGACCCTTTTAAAATGAAACGCCTAAAGTACACATGTTATTCATATTAAAATTTAATTTTATTAATTATGTTATTTGATTTGACTTGACATCGACTGTTTATTTTTTCTTTGAGCACAACAAGTCTCAACTCGGTCACATTTTTATTGCCTCAGGACTCCACAGGGTGAGTTGTTTGCGGAGTCCATAGCATAAAAAAATTAAAAAAAGCTTGACACGACCCGAATCAATGCAGGAAATTTAATATGTGTGTTTATCGTGAACCTAGCCCAAATTAAATCCCGAAACAAACAAAAACTTACTTTATGTTAGATTCGGCGTTTTTGGAGCCTTTCGTCGGTCGCATTCGGCTTCTTTCTCCTTCGGCTTCGGGCCTCTTCAACCTTCAGCTTCGGGCCTCTTCATCCTTCAGCTTTTTCAGCTTTCTTTGGCACTTCGGATGGTGGTTTGTCTTCGACAACAGTGGCTCTCCATTCGAGCGGCTGGTGGTGGTACTCCATTCAGTTTCGACTCTTGGAAACGGAAGGTAGGTTACGCAATACTCATTCTAAATATTAGTGTTTAGTCGTTTCATTGCAACAACTAGTGATTTATTTTCTTTCTCATTGTAGCACACAAAATGGCCCGAAGTCGTTGAGGTAACTACATTGTTTATTTTAAAATAAAAGTTGAAGTTTTAGTCGTGTTATTGTAGTATTATAGTGGTGTTGTAGTCATATTATTGTGTGATATTGTGTGTTATAAAGTTGTTATTTTGTGTTATTGTTGTGTTATATTATTTAGAGATGCGTTATAGATGTGTTATAATCGTGTTATAATTGTGTTATTGTGTGTTATAGATGTGTTATTGTGTGTTATAAATGTGTTGTTGTGTGTTATTGTTGTGTTATGTTAATATAATGATGTTATAGATGTGTTATTTTGTATTATTGTTGTGTTATGTTATTTAGAGATGCATTTAGATGTGTTATATATGTGTTATAGTGTGTTTTAGTGTGTTATTGTTGTGTTTTTATTGTGTTATAGTTGTGTTATTGGTGTAACACACGCATAACACATTCATAACACACGATAACACAACATTAACACAACGGTAATACGAGAATACCACAACAATAAAACAACAATAACAGATTAGTAACACAATTAAAATGCAACAATAACACAATAATAACACATTATAACACAATAATTATACAATGATAACACAACTGTAACACATAATAACTCATCTGTAACACAACAAAAACTGAACTATTGCAGTCATATAACACATAAATAACACAGTCATATAACACATAAATAATTGCAGTCATATAACACATAAATAACACATATGTAACACTTCAATAACAATTTGCAGGTGAAGTTGTTTGCAAAGGATGCTGCAAAGTGTTTTGGTAGAGTCAAACCTGCGACATGGGGACTTACACTTGTTATGGGTGCACCAACGCAAAGCAATAGTATTGATTGTGGTATGTTTGTATGCAAATTCATGGAAATTTTGGTGTTGCCACATGCACAATATATTGATTGGACCCAGTATCTTAACTGGCAACAAGACATGGAGAGATTTAGAACTGGATTTTCTTAACGTCATTTATATGTGGTCCAAAAATCTAAACGCTTAAATATGTGCTTATGGTTTTATTACACTTGAAGTTGCTTATGGTTAAATATGTGAATTTGTCAACGTCATTTGCTTACGGTTAAATATGTGCTTATAGGTTACAAAGTCATATAATTCGTTATGACAATTGAATTTTGAAATTTTGAGCAATAATATTTTGTTATAACACTTGAATTTTATGGTATAACACTTATATTTTTAAAATTTCAGTTTATAAAGTCATATAATTCAGTATAACACAAGATTTTGAAATTTTCATCAACTATATATAGTTATAACACTTAAATTTTACGGTATAACACTTATATTTTGAAAATTACAGGTTATAAGATCATATAACACTGATAAAATTATAAAATAACACGTCAATAATTAATTATAACACATGTATTCTCAATATAACGAATATATATCGCAGTATAACACGATTATTTTATATTTTGAATTTTATTTATATTTGAATATTTTAAGAAGTAACTATTTTGCGATATAATACTTAAATTTTGAAATTTTCAGTTATATAACATGATAAAATTGAATTTTGAACTCGTTATAACAACTTAAACTCGGTATAACACTTGAATTTTGAACAATAACACAACAATAATGCGGTATAACACTTAATTTTTGTTAAATAACGCATCAATAATTCGTAATAACACATGTATTCTCAATATAACGCGTATATATTACAGTATAACATAATTATTTAAAAAATAATGCGGTTTAATTAAAGTATAACACAAGATTTTTGATAAATAACACGTTATTATATACCCGTGACGGCGGAATAACACGTATATGTGGTATATTACTGTGGTATAAGACAGTATATGTGTTATATTACGGCGGATTTACTAAACTCTATTAATGCTAAATCCTTCTTGCAGCCAAACACCCCCTTAGCATTCTACATAACGTTCACAAACAACAGAAACGGAACACCCCCTTAGCATTCTACATAACGTTCACAAACAACAGAAACGGAGCTACTTTAAGCCCCACACATAAAAGGAAGTAAAATATGTTATTATTTTGATGATGATGATGATATATTGATGGATTATGCTTCTTCATAGGGTTATTATTAAGAATTTGAAGCCAATTTTTTCTCCAAGTTTTGATGTGCCAACCACTGAACAACTCCTTTGCTGCTCAAGCTCATTACAGCGGGTAATTTTTAGATGTTTTGGCTAAGATATACTTTTAAAAAATGTACTCCAAGTTAAACAAGCTCATGTTCAACACACTTAAAGTGGCGACTTTTCTGAAAACTTATTCCAAGTAGAAAAATATCTTGATGGATTTGAGTCACAGCTCTGACAATTGGTATTAAGCACAATACAATTCCTTCAATTTATGAGAACGAACATTTAGAACAATATGGGAGACGCTTATTGGACCCTTTAAGCCTACAATTCCATAAACAATGCTTGCAGGCACCACATGATGTAAGCAATATTATAAAAGCTCAATGCCAAGTGATTTCTTAACCTCGGGTATAAATTTCATCAAATATATGCAAACAAGTCCTTTAAACTTTTACTATTTCAGTTACATACGAAAGTCAAACCTTGATGATTCTTAATATGACCACATCAATAGAATGATGTAACATATTTTATGATTATTATTTGGTTAATTGATGTATATTAGTTATACTTAAGGTTTTGGCCTAATTTTTAATACTCCAAACCCAAAATTAAATATCTTTAAAATCTATTCTTTTGAACTGAGTTCTTTGAGTTCTAGAATTCACTTTTACCTTGCAAAGTATATGCCTTGCTCTACATATTCTTCACTAACTTCATTGATGATTTGCTTATATGCTTCATATTAGATATGATAAAATAATGGAGATTTATATACATGCCACATAATTACTTTGTATTTGCATATCTAACACCTAAATTTTGATAGTCACGTTTATACCACTTCATCTATGCATGAAAATGTGTATTTTGCTTTTTAAAAGTTATTGATAGTGATATTTTTGAACTCAAATGAAGGATTTGAGTGTTATAAATTTAAAAGTCAAAGTTTACATGTTAGATATGAGAATTCATAAGAATTGTGGGGTGTACATTATTCAGTGATCTTCACTTCATTGACAAGTCCATGTCAGCTTGATGTGGTAAATTGACACTAAAGAACAATGAATTATTATTCAGATATGAGTTGAATTTGAGTTCTTATAGTTTTATTTAATAATTCTTTTGTGAAAAGTTCTTATAGTTTTATTTATAAAATAAAATGTTGGGTAACAAAGAAAATAATTCTGTTAAGCATTCATAGCGATTGAATCTTCTCATTTTAAGTTATTAAGCCACATGCTTTATGAATCATATTAGACTTTGTTCATCACAAATTTTCTTTTTCTGCAAAAGTTTCTTTGATTATATGCTCCATTCATTATCTTCAAGTGGTTAAGTTGAATATTTTTATGACATTATGATGTGTCTAAACCATCATAACAAGACTTGGAATAAGGATCCATGCACCTAGTCTTGAAAAAAGAAGTTTGAAGCATATATATTATTGAGATCTATGATATCTTTCGTTGATCCATGCTAAGTTTGTAAATAGACATAAAAATTATGTGGCTGAGCTAGTATTTTAATCAAAAATCTCAAGAGGACAATGTTACAAATCTCAATTTTTATATTTGTCTTAAACACAATGTATATGTTGAAAAATTTGCATCATAATATTCCATCTAAATTTTTGCTTTCTGTATTTTAATCTAATTATTTCTTATTTTTTCCCCTTAAACAGGCTGAAAGAGATGAGAAGCCATTGAATCGAGCGGTGAATTCCCTCAACAGGTAACAATTAAGTTTAATAACAAAAATATGATTTGCTCATAAAAAACCTATGAATTAGAACCCTAAAAAGACATCTATGCTTCATTTTTTTGCCCTTTTTTAATTTTCTCAATCAAAAATTTGCCGAAGTGTTCATATGGTTCTCAATAGAAATGAATGAATCATAGAGATTTTGATTATGATAATGCAAATAATGATGATGATTTAGTACATTATTGAAGTATTTAATGCCTTACTTGACGTGTTGTCGGAAATAATAGCAGTTTCAACAGAAACTTCATGATTAGCTATTCAGCGTTCGCAACATCTTCCTAGTATGTGCGCTTGGAGAATACCACACTCGGGTTCTGAAGGCAAGCAATTAACATAACTTCATGTCGAGACTCGAACTTCATTCTTTTTCTCTTGCAAAAGCATTCTGACTTGAAAAATAATGTATTATTTTCATTAAGAAATCTGTTGTCGGAAAGCAAGGCGGCTATCCGGACTGAAAACAACAGTCGAATGTCAAAACAGTAAGGTATGGGTTCCTGAGCAAGATATAAAAACACCATTTGCGAAAGAAAGATGATCCAATATTCTTTAGAACAGACGTCAGAAAATACGTTCTCCAAAATACATAAGTAAATTAGTTGTTACATGAAAATAAAATAAAAAATATATAAAAATTTTCTAATAGAAATAACCTAATTAGAAATAGATAAATAAGAAAAAATCAAACAAGAAAAATAGAGTTAGAATCAGAAAATTGATCAGGCCTTGTGGTTCGTTGGCACGCCCTTGATCAAGGGATTCCACAATCCAGCAAAAACAGGCGAAGTCATGTGGAATTGGAAGCTCTCGTGTCATTCTCCTAAGCTAGGAAAGGATTCTTCTCTGGAGGCTTTTGAAATCTGCCTACCATTATCATAATAAAATTATCACCTTGTTATATTGAGGCAATTCTACTATAAAGCCTATACTCGCGTCTATCACAAGTAACAAACATAAATGGCATTTCAAAGTTTGTCTTGATATAACAACTTAGTCATCCTTCTTTAGCATGATTAGAGTTGGAATTGCACATTCAATTATTGCACGAATCAAGCCTCAAACCATCAAGTTTGTAACTTATCCCACTCCTCGTTCTCGATTGGGTGCATTCGACAAACAAGTTTGTTTGGAGGAATTAACCCATAATAAAATCCATGGCACTCTGGGCCTTTATCAGTGGTGACAATCAAGGAGGTAAACCTTCATTTAGAACCAGCAACAGGCTATCTTGTGTCTTGGATTTGCTCCTTGGATTTACTGTCATCTAGGGCAACTAATGCTAATCCTATTGGTGCTTTTCTCATACGCTTAGTCTAAATGACTTGTCAAATCACTAGCATTGCTATCTCGTCTGTTGAAAGTTAATATTCTCTAATAACATTATTTTTTCTTATATAATTGTCAATTTCCTTAAATGCTCCCTGTTATTTAGGCAATTGGATGCAATGTGTCCAAAATTATTGCACTTGAAGTAGTTTTTTGGTTGGGACGAAATTGGGAGTACGGCGGTCTCCACCTTTTCTTCACGCTAGACGGTTTTCTCCCCAGACATGGTCCGCTTGGGTGTTTCAATTGGTGTACTCTTGCTTCTCGATCCTGATCTGATGGTTGAACCCTTTTTGAAGGGTGGTGTGGACCTATGTATTTTATCTTCATTTTGAAAACTAATGTATATATATTTTGTAATGTCCAATAGGGTTGTAATTATATCATTTTGTCAATAAATTGTCTCAATTCTCTCAAATATAGAGCTATGATATTCTCACCAGGCTCCATTAACTCACAATTTAGCATAAATTGTTGAACTCAGTTGTGTACTCCTTTATTGAGAGATGTTTACAAGTAATGAAGTCTCAAAAAAACATCATGTTTGTAATGTGTTGATGAGTATTTGCGGTGCATCTCTCGTTTCATCTTGAATTGGGTAAGACTCTTCAAGTTCTCCCATCATAAGGAAGCATTCCTCCTTAACTCAATAGTGATTAGCTTGACTCTTATGTCACGTGCAGCGTCCTTGTACATAAAGACTTGTTTCACTGTATTAGTTCTTTGTCACGCAAAACTTCATTATGCTAGGGATTTACTTCCTCCTCTCAATCCAGTAATTCACTGTTGTAGCTATGAGTGACCGCTTCAGATTTCCTCTTCTTAAAGGTGACAAATCTTTGTTGTTGTTGGATAATTTTTTTATGTTTGTCATGCTTAGTAAGTTTATAAACAACTCTTTGAGTGTTTCTTTTGAGCAGCATTGAGTCATTTTTCTCTTGATCTGAGTTTCAATCGATATATGATTGCAAGTTAGGGTTAGTCGGGCTTATGTTTTCGTGATAGGTGTCCGGGTGGATTGTTGGTGGAAGTATGAATGGTGGCTTTTGAAAATTTAGGAACAGGGCTAGGAATTTTAGTTGGAACAATTATGGTATTGAATTTGTGGAAGATTAAGTTATGTGGATTTTTGATACGTGTTGGAATAACGAATCACTAAAATTCTAGAGGTTCTGGGGTCCTAATATTTAGATGATATGTGCAAGGGCTCATAGAAGGTGTTTGAGAAGTAGATTTAGTGAGGAAAGGTTGTGGAATAGTATCTAAGAATTGTGTGATCCCATAGGATCACCCAGAATCTCACAGAACCGGAAGCTTCCACATCAACAAATGTGTTAGTTTTTCTTTTCTTCTTATTGTTATTATTAGTATTATTATTAGTTCTTATCTATTTGTTTCATACTATTAAATATAACTAAGAAAAGGGAAATTTACATACAGAACACACGAATCATATGTATTTACATATCTAACACCTTAAGTTTGATCTTTACACTTTCACAACTTGATTGTCATAAACTTATGCATGAAAATGGTGATATCTTTGATGTGATACGAAAGATTTGGGTGGTATGAATGTAAAAAAATAATGTTTAAGAGTTAGATATAAAAATACATAAAAAAGTGGGTCATATGCATGTAAATGCACCTTTTTTTTTTTTCAGATAAATGAAACTATTATTTGCTGGATACATAGATTTTGACCTACGAACTGCTAGCAAAACAAGCAGTCCCTTGAAATGTTGTGATGAATTTATAAAGTATACCATATACGAGAAAGATTAAAATGTGATTATTGATGCTAGAATCATTTGGGTGTAATTAAAAGGGGGTGGGTATGTTGGTATGACAATAGAAATTTTTATATTTATTGGCATGATAACATATTCATTTATGTGTATACTCATAAAAAAAAATAATAATGAGTGTATACTAATATAATGGTAATAATAATAGGGAGTTTTACTCCAAAAATTTTTCTGTGCGGACTCTTGACGTAGCTCTACGTGCGGCGAAAGTTATTTCCGAGTTATTTTCAGGTTATTTTTGTGTTATTTTCAATAATACCAAAATAACCCAAAAACAAAGACCGCGAGTTATTTCTGGGTTATTTCGGTGTTATTGAAAATAACCCAAAAATAACCTGAAAATAACTCAACAATAACCTACACCGCACGTAGAGCTACGTCAGGAATCTGGACAGAAAAAATGCTCTTTTTACTCCAGAAGGGTTTAGTAGATTGTGTCATTTTTTCTCTTTTCTCGTGCATGAAGTAGACGATCATTTTTCTCGGTGCTTGACCACTATTTCACCCTATGGGTAGAAACGTGTCATCACCTCTATGATAATGCTTCGGCTTCTGCTGGGCTTACGTATGTTCATGTGTGTAAGAAATCGTTGCAGTGTTGCCCTAATTTGGAGTGCGTGTCTGCATGTCTTTTGATTTTTTACATGTCATAATATCTTTGTTGTATTGTATGCTCATGGTGTCTTTTTTCCATATTTGGTGTTTTAAGAATACTCGTCGTTCTTTCTAGGACAGAAGGTGGGTACCCAAAATTGTTTAAACTGATCCTTGGTGCCTCAAGTTAGTCATTCGAGGAAGCTCTGTTGATCACACAAGAATAGATTGGGATCTTTGAGGTGGGATGCATCAACGCCAAGAGTGGCTCCCATGATCGCATAATAACAGATTGGGAGACTACGAGTTGGGCTACAACAACACGAAGGAGAGCTCTGTTGATCATAACAACAGGTGGGGAGAAAATAGCACATTCTGCACACGGAATTAATTGTGTTAGACTTATGAATTTGACTGTGATTTCTCACCTAATTTAGCTTTAAAAAAATTAGCACATTCTGCACACGCAGGCGAACAAAGCATTGAAAGCAAGCTACTTCTGAGGATTAAAGACCTCATGTGATGTGGCCCTATTCAAGACAAGAATATATTTGATGTAATTTATAAAACTAGTTACCGGCATTTACATTTATACCACCAATTCATTATGTATTTACATATCTAACATCAAAACTTTGTTTTATACATTTATATATCTCAAATCTCTAATCTGTAATGTCACATAAAAAATCTTAACAGTTCAATTAAAAAAAAAGGAAATATATGTTTTCATGTGTAGTTAAGGTGATATGTAAGTAAAAAATTGAAGTTTAGGTGTTAAATATGTGAATGTATAGGAATTGATTGTTATGTACGCAAATCTTTGAACTTTTTAACAAAATAGACAGAAATAAATTAAATGTTTATCTTCAATAAGTGCGGGGGCGTTTTTGAAAACGTCACGGTACCGTTTGAATCGTGCTTTTTGCCTGTTTATTCGAAAATACGGTTTCATTTTTACACTAAATGCGGGCCACGGGTTCAACCCCGAGGGTCGGGTTTCAGGATAAACTGTTTATCTTGAAACACACAAGCTGCACCAAAAGCAAAGTATCTATTAAATATCTTCCAATTTTGAGTACTTGTATTTTTATTCTAATATATTTTGGCCTTTGGCCTTTTTTGATTTGGAGTGATGGGAGGGAATACTAATGCATTTTGCTTCACAAAAAAATTTTGGAGCATTTGCAGACATACCAACCAATTTCTATGTATTTAAATATCTAACACCTAAATATTACTTTTTCTTCATTTTTAAAATTTAGTTGTTACACCCATAAATACATAAGATACATGAGAAACGAGTGATATTGATGTAAACCTTCCTTAAATAAATATGTAAAATAAAACAAAAAAAATAAGATCTAATTGAGACTAATTGGTATCGCCGATCTTTACTTTACCATGATTATGGGTGTCAAAATTAGGATTATTTTCCTACGAATTGGATGATTATTTAGTACACTTTTACTTTGCACCAAGATATAAAAAAAATCAAATTTTATGTATTCATTTTACGTTACACCCTCGATAGTTACAATCAAACAAACCTAACAGGATAATTAAATTTATATGAAATGTAAATGAACACGTGTTTCGTTTGGCTATTCAAATTCGACCCTGGTTAGAAATAGAAAGTGTTCTTTAGGAGATCAATATTGTGACTAACATATCCCATGCTCATGAGGGATAAATTTTCAAATTACTTCAAATAAGCCAAATATAAGACAACAAAAAAAAGAGATTAAGGGGCACAAGAATTGTTCATCCATGACATAAGAACTCCATTGATTCGAATCCACTAGAAGGATGGATCAATGTGGTATCAAACGATGAAATGACATCTAGGAAGCCCTAGTTCTATATTTAAGTTCTAAATGTTGAAAGCCAAGATGTATATGTTCTATGATTTATTAATGTATTGAATTCACTATTACTACTGTTAAAAAAATTAACTTTTGTCCAATTTTAGAAACTTTGAGAATATGGTGAGAACAAATAGTATAAAATAAAATAAAATTGTTGAATCTGAATCTGTATGTGAACCAAACCTAAGGAGTAGAGCATAAGATGAGGGAGAGAGCGTGAGAGAGAGAGAGAGAGAGAGAGAGAGAGAGATGCACGATGAACATTAATCTGGATTGTTTACTAACTCTTTCTCAAGAAATGATATCCCCATTTATAAAAAATCAATATATGAAATTACGTGCTACCCCTGTTTTAATAGAAGAGTTGTAGGATATATTAGATATTTTACATGTATAGACTTTTAGTTTGACTATCCTATGACTCAGTCGATTGAATCAATGAGTCTTGATTCGAAAAAACCTACTTGTGTGACTGTGTTGGAGCAAGGATAGTCGTTCGGCCTTTGGTGATCTTGGGTCTGCAAGACTCAGCTCGATCGATTTAATTTTGTCAATCTGCTACTCTGGTCTAGCTATGGACTATTGATATGATCCCTGGTGAGAAGTTTTTATTGGCAGAATAAGATTAGGTCATCAGGCAAAGAGTATATTACAATAATTTGACAGATCACTCATTCCTCGACGAGAAAGTCTTTCGGGATGCTCTGTAAATTATGTTATGGCTGGTCTTTGGCCCATGATGAGCAATCTGATGGGAGTTTGTGAGAAAGTTGGTGATGCTAAACTCTTCCTTTGGGTTAGATTGTGGTGAGAAACAAATCAATGCTTATGCTCGGCTTGATTGGCCTTGGTCCTCAGTTCGAATGTCCTTCATTTAGTCGACTTTTAGCCTTGGTTCAGGGTAGTTGCACTTGGTCAAGTGAATTCATTAGTCTTCTGCTAGTGAGCCCTTTGATATTCCACCAGCAGACCCTTTGGTCTCCTACCGATGGGTCCATTGATCTTCCACCGGTGGACCGTCCTTCCTTGTCTCTTTGTCCATTTAATCTTCTCAAGATTCGTGTTAATGCATTTATGAACACAAAGCAATATGGAATGTCAACTTATGAGTAGACTGATGCGGAAAATATTCCTATAAACCCAAGCCACTAAATGAGTGAAGGCCTGAAGAGAAGAAATTCATACTCAATTCAAAATAGAATTGCAAGTGAATTACAAATGAGAGCTATTTTTCATTTACATCTAATCATAAGATCTTTAATTATGAGATTTTTGATAAAATACGGCGTGCCAAAATGCAAATTTGATAGTATGCAAGAGCTTGTAAACTCAATAATGAAATTAATGCAACAAAAAAATAAATAATATATATATATATATACATATATGTCAAGTTTTTTGGTGAGATTTAAAATTTATCATTTGATTACACATCAAAAAGAAAAAAATATTAATTTATTGCCTTACCAAGAATACAAAATGTAAAAAAATGAACAAATTTATAATTATTAAAATTTAGATGCTGGATTTGTAAATATATAAGATTAATGCGGTATGGAAGGATTTACATACATGCTTCTAAAGTTTTATACTTACAACATTCTAGATATGTATGATAAAATATTAAAATATTTTTTATTTTAAAAAGTAAACGGCGGTGATGTTTTTAATGTAATGTTAAGAATTTGAGTGTTAAATTTACAATCATTAAAATTTGGGTGTTGGATATATAATATATAAACATGTAAAATTTATGTGGTATGTATGGACCTGCCTAGAGTCATTGTACATGCCTAGAGTCATAAGGTATGATTTTGATGTATTTTAAACCCTTTTTTTCAATTTAATTTCAATGAATTCAGACAATTGAATTATTTTTTTAAATACATTTTATAAGCTATATAACATTCCATTTACTAATCGTATTCACCTGAATGCCCCCAAATATCACCTCCACTCTACCGAAAAAAATTTATGTTTGGAGTCCGGACGCAGCTCTGCGTGCAAATTTCCAATAATATGCCGACATGCGTGCTACATCGCGGAGGTTATTGGAGATTATTGAATTAAAACCACAAATGCTATTTAAGGTGTTACTATGGGGTTATTGCAGGGGTTACTGCAGGATGTTATTGAAGTGAAATCGTAGAAATTATTGCAGGGGGTTATTGAAGTGAAACCGCAGAGACTATTTGAAATTTATGGGGTGTGTGGTTTATTGCGGGAGTTATTAAAGTACAACCACAGAGGTTATTAAGAATTTATTCGAATGTTATTGAGGGATTATTACAGTATTATTAGAATTAATATCTTAATAACCTCACAATAATACTCCAAATAACATTCACAGTTAAACCCCAATAACTGGCAGGATATCACTCCAATAACTCGGATTCCACTCCAATAACTAAACCCTAAACCCTGAACAATAATTTTTTATAACACACGTAACCCGGACGTAAAATTTTTCCCGGCTCTGCAGAAACTGGACCGCTGTGCAGCAACTAAACCGCTCATTTACGGTTCTCGCCAACAGCCATGCCCTAGGCTCATCCCTGACCTCCGTCTTAGGGACGCAACTGAGATTGCGACCTTTAACCTCATCTCCTTATTCCCGCATTTAAATCTATTTTTTGCTTTCGTGCGTGCAGCAGCAAACCCTAATGTGACATTCCTGCGCTTGCTTCCACTCAAAAAGAATATCAAAGGAGAAAGAGATCGAATCCGGTGACATAATCGCCTATATTCAACGGCAATGACGGCATGGGCTTTCAATCCAACGGAAATCATTCCACTGTGGCATACAGCTCCCGTGTCGAGCGTGCGTGCCGTTGATTCTGGGACCTACCACCAGCCCTAAGCGATTTCATATATAGGTACATTCCCTGCCCGCCGTTCATTCTGGCTTCAAAAGAAATGGCGAGTTCGCCGGCGGATATCGACGGCGAGATGACGCCATTGCAGAAGCACGCGTCGTTCTTTGATCGGAATAAGGACGGCGTGATTTACCCATGGGAGACCTTTCGAGGTTTGTTTGGTTTCTAGGAGAGAAGACTCCATGGAGATCAGAGAGTCTCTCCTTTTACCCCTATTTTGTTTAGATAATTACATAAATAGCACTAAGAAATTGCTTTTTACAAAATTAGAACCCATGTCAATTTGTTAAACTATTGAAAATTTGATGAAAATGAAAAATATTGGGTTGGAATTTTATTGTTACATTTGATTTTAGATTGAGAATTTGAAAAATTGATGAAAGATGATGCTAATTTTGTAAATAAAGAAATTTCGAGTGCTATTTATGTAATTACCGTTTTTATTAGATGTTTTGTTAACTTCCTTGTTTTGTGGGCGTTAGGGTTTCGGGCGATTGGAGGTGGTGTGGGACAATCTATAGTTGCCGCTGTTTTCATCAACGGCTTGCTGGCCCCCAAGACTCGTACAGTTCGTTTTTAATCTTATTTTTTATGGACTGATAGTTTTTTTTTTATTTTTCCTCAAATATATGAGACAAGTAAAAACATTTTTTTTTTATGTATTTACATGTGTATAACTCTTAAAATTTTAATATATTTTTATATATAATAGTTCATATATATCAAAATATTCTTATATAATTTATATTTGAATAGTCTCTAAACTTAGGGGTGTTTTGACTGCTTATTAGATTTAGGATGGATAGGATTTAGTAAATCTAGGAAATTTGAATTTATCAAATTCAAATTGTGTAAATCCAGAATAATGTTGGGTTCAATTTACATTTAATTCCATTAGATTTGTTTATTGTGTTCGGCAGAAATTCACTCTTCTTACTTTCTTCCTAAGCTAAATTTGTTAAATCAGTGTAATAATCAGATTTAATAAATTCAGATTTATGTTGTAAAAAATAACAGAAGGAAGAAAAATTTGATTAAACAAATTTCGGATTTAATTTGATCGATATTTTTGTTTAGCTAGATTTACGTTGGATATGACATAAATTCAACTCAAATACGGCTACCAAACACTCCCTTAATAAATTTAGTTTGACAATAGTAAGCTTCTTTTTTTTTAAAATCATTTATTGAAATTAATAAGAGTTGTAAGAATTTATATTGTATTAATTTCAAAGTAGGTTATAGTTTCTTGAACCAATCTTCGTATATTTTTTATCACCATATCTTGGTATAATATCTAGTCTTTTTAATTTTCTTAACAATCAATATTGAAAATTTGATCTAACTCCACTTTTTTTTTTCTTCTTATAGGTAAATCAATGAAGTTTCTTTTTATTTTTTATTTAGGATTATTGATACATCTAACCCAGTGCTTACATACCATGAAATTTTATCCTGTTTTAAGGAGAATAGCATTCATTAAAAAGAAAATCGAACTTATATGGTTAGAAAATAATTTTGATTTGAATTATTTTTATTCAAATCAATTTTATAGATTCTTTTTCATATTATTTGGTTTTACTTGGATTAATAGTAAAAATAGAGTTCTTAATATTTCAAATTTTAGTTTTTAATTGATTAGTTGAAAATACATCATACATGAATGCATAATGTGATTTGTATTGATTCTATTATTTTTAGATTATCAAAATTTCAAATGCAAATCAAATTCTAATCAATGAGTTTACCTATATTAAATTACAGAAATGAAATCAAAATTAATCAAAATTGAGCATAGCGGGCTTTTTTAATTTGATTTAATTTTTCGCTTTACACTATTTTTTGCCCATCATTGTATCTTTTATCTTTAGACTACATGAAAATTTGATTCAAATTAGACAAATAAAAATTGTTTCAAGCATGTTAAAGATGTGAAGCAAAAATTTTACCCCCACAAAATGTACTTGAGGTTTCTATTTATTATAATTATTGGATCAAAATTTTTACATATATAGTTAATTTTTTTTATGTGTTATTAGATACTTTGTTTATTTGAAGAAACCTCGTAAACATTTATAATTAATTATATCACACTCGTCTTATTGTCGCTATAATTATTCTTAGAATGGACGGTTTTACATCCTATAATCGAACAAGCTTGATGGAAAATTGTCCCAATCATGTTGACCTATCACCACCTTTTTTTGGTTCCAAAAATATATTGGATGGCACCTCGTCTCAACCCAACATGATGTCACTCCTACCACAACTATGTCCTCTCAAGTAACATGGATGCTATCTTCAATATAGGATTGAGGCAAGCCACACCATCAAAAGTTCCTACCACCTTAAAGATGATGGAGCCAGTCTTTAATGTTGTCTTAAGAACATCATACTTGATAGTTTTGACAATATTGATGACAATCCTAGCCCATCAACCCATGTGACTAATCGACAGGGGAAATCTTGCATTAGCTTCCCTTAAAAATCATATAAAGTAAGATATTTATCCTCCATATTTCAGTAAGGATTTTGCAGCAAATACTGCCAACCAAGCTGAAAATCCCTTAATTGGATCATTGCATGGGGCTAAGTAATCAAACAGAGCACATCAAAGGTTTGATTATGCTATGTTTTGTGTTTTGTCTTTGGTAACCTATGTTTCGACATCATTTTAGCCATTGACATTACATGGAGATCCTACTTGAAATTTCTGCTCAGTACTATCACATTATTTGATGGGTTGTGCTGATAATTCATAGCTTAAACCTTCGCTTTCAAGAGACCACAAGTCCTCCTAAACCATATTATGCATTAGCAAGGAGATAGTGAGCTAGTTCATGATTATGCCTACCGATTCACCCAAATCTCCCATAAATTCACAAACTCAGAACCAAGGGGTGACCAAGATGGCCTTTACCCTAGGCATCCAGTTCCACAACTCCATGTTCATGTACTCTTTAGGTTCAGGCCACATGATATCATTGAAGTTGCTTCTTGGCTTTAAGATTTCAACCAAGCAACCTCAAACTGGCCAAAAAAATTACGTCAGCCTCAAATCACACACCGTGTAAAACCTGATATTATTATAAATTTGACTCTAAAATGCATTTGTTATGGAACAAAGGAATTCACTCGGGCAATTATCAAATAAAAAAGGCCGTTAGCCATATGTCTATTGGAACCTTCAACATGAAGAGGGCCTCAAGTAGAATGAGCAAACCCTCGCTACTAATATTCTACTGATTGGATCATAGCGCATGACTTTATTGATATTATAATTACTTTGAGGAATGTTTTCCACTCATGTTATGTCTACTTTCTATGCTTCCTACCTCCATGGATGAACCCTTCATATCACTAACAATAACTACCAGTTGGCTTATAACATTATGTTTTTAGCCTATAATATGCTACCTAGTTAAATGAGGAATCCACTATGGTTTGGACAATGTTGTAACCCTATGGTTGAGAGCTAGGGCTCATAACGGTGGCCTGCTTTTGGTTTTGGTTCCAATTTTGTTGTGGATGGCACCCCTTGTCCACCCAACTGGGTGGCACTTAGCACAGCTACATGACCTCTCAAGTAAAATGGATGTTAGTTTCAGTCTATTATTTTAGTACCTTAGTGATAATTGAGCCAGTCTCTAATGTTGTCTTAAAAGCATTGTAATAGATAGTTTTGACAGTATCATTGACAATCCTAGCACATCAATCCATGCGACTAACCCACACGGAAATGCTATGGTGGATTCCCTGGAAAATCATGTAGAGTCGAAGACCTATCCTCCATATTTCGACAAAGATTTTTCAACTGAATATCCCTTAGTTGGATCATTGTTTGGAGTTGAGTAACCATATAGAGCACATCAAGAGCTTTGAGAATCCCATGTCTCTATTAATTTATGTTTTAGCATCTTCTCAGCCATAATGAAGGGCGTCATGTGGAGGTGATTCTTGAAACTTCCACCAGACAATATCGCATTATTTGATGATTTTTTCTGATAATTCATACTTGAATCCGTTGCTTTCAAGAGGCCACTCAAGTTCTGATAATTCATACTTGAATCCGTTGCTTTCAAGAGGCCACTCAAGTCCTCCTAGACCCTATTACACATTAACAAGGGAATGGTTAGTCCTATCTCGGGAAAACTCCTGTGCCTCTCATAAGGTCATACACTCTAAGCCAAGGGTGACCAAGATGGTCTTCACCCTGACCTACACAACTCCATGTTCATAGACTCCTTAGGTCCATACCACATGATAAACTCGAAGGCACTTCATAGCATTAAAATTTTCGGCCAGGCAACCTTGAAGCAGCCGCAAATATTAGGTCAGCCATAAAACACTGTGTAATACCTAGTGTTCTCGTAAATGCGACTCTATGGTAGAAGGAGCAAACCCTACAAGCAAATATCATATTGATTGTATGGTAATCTAGCCGATCACATGGCTTTATCAATATTATAGCTACATTGATGAATGTTACCTGCTCATGGTACTTCACTTTTGGTATTTCTACTTTATGTGCTTCCTACTTACTAGAATGACCCATTCCTATCACTAGCAATTAACTAATATTTGGCTTATATCATTATGTTTTTAGCATATAATATTCAAAATCGATATGCTACTTAGTGTAATAAGGAACCTACTATGGTGCGGATGATGTTGTCGTGTCGTGCTTGAAAGATAGTGCTTCATAGCGATGACTTGTTTTTTATTTGCTCAGCATCTGGTCCACCAACCCCACAAATCCCGCAACCAGCCGCCGCCAACCTATGGCTAAAATAGCCCGCAATTAATGAGAAGAAGAGTGACATTTGAAAATACGGAAAGCTATTTAAGCGACTAAAGTAGGCCCTTCTAACTATTAGAAATGATGTCAAATTTTATCATATGACAACAGATGCTTAGATGGATTGTTTATAGAATGTTGCCACAAACCAACAAGAACCCATGATGGCCATAACCCTAAATGTCCACCAAAATATGCTTTAACAACCGTCTTGCATAATGCTGCTGTGAGCTAACAGGAGACTATGCAACTCAATCTATCAGTGCGCATGAGAGCGGCATTCATAGGAGTAAATTGTTGAGTGATGTAAGGGGGCCTTTTGACCAAGTGAAGCTTCATCAAACATCGATAGTCTAATAGCAGACAATCAAATTGTCTACTTGTAGAATGCTGTCGCGATTTGACCAAAATTATGTGTGATGAACATACATACAAATTAGCCCAACCTGAAGGCAAGGAGGCAATGCTGATATTTGAGATATTCCAATTATATATGATTTATTTAACAATAGCTTATCTTTATTATGTAACTCAGACTAATGTGTCAATCTTTTCATATGGTTTGCCTTGAATTTTTTTCCCTTTTCTTGCCCATTTTTAAACCAAAGAGCATTGTAAGGGAAACATAATGCCTTTTCAGGTATATTTCATTTCATTTATGAAGTATTTATAAGATGGTCGATCATATTACATGGTAAAAGATTTACTAGGCAAAAAAAAAAAAAAAACAAATTGACCGTTTTACATAATATGAAAGTTCGGCAAGTCAGAATATATACACACACACTTCTTGCAATTAGCCCAACCTTTGAGACAAATATCTAGAACAGATGAAGAATTGTAGAGAAAAGAGATAAAAAACCTTCAAAAATGAGATAATGGTTTTACTGATCCTTGTTTTCAGTCCGGACAGCAGCCAGACTTATCCAACCTCCGTCCAACAACAGATTTCGCCCCATCTACCATTCCAAATGCAGCAAACCTCCACCAATGTCCTTTCTTTACTATCCCACAACCACCCCCTCACTACATCTACTTCCCAAACACATTTTAGGAGCCCTAGAACGGTATCAAAAGAAAATTTCAGTTATCGATCACATCAACGAGTTCATTTCCATCACACGGCAATTAAACTTAATAAAAACTGAGTTTAGCACTGAGATTCATGCTTTGAGCTAGATTATATTGACCGAGAGCTCAAATTATGTTAACATATGTGAGTTGTTCGTAGTGTAGTTCACTTGGTGTAGTGGTCAGGTGTTTTATCTCTAACTACAAGATCTTTTTTTGAAGGCCTAATACATTTGGATGTGTGTGATTTAAAAAAAAAAAAAGTGAATAATTCCTATAGATTGTTTGCCATGAAGATCAATGATGCTAGACCTCCCATTCTCAACAAGGATATCATATGGCACTATGTAATAAATGCACGTCATCTTATGCTTTAAATATTTATAATAAAAGTTGATATCAAATAATGATCTAATGATGAATTAGCGAACACATAATTTTGACTAAGATTTTTTCTCATTGATGATGAGCTTTTAAATATTATGGACATTAGAGATATGATAATCAAAATAATAATTACAACACATAGGAGTTTATTGTTTGGATGTATTTAAAATAGATGTTTTTTAAAAATAAAGAGTGATTCGAATGCACACATTTCAGAAATACAAGAGCTGTTTGGTTGGATATAAGTTCAATAAATTGTAATATTTTTTGTATTTGTTTTGGTACATTTAAAATGTATTGCAATATAATGTATGAATTTGATTTATGAAAGTCAATATAGATCATGACGTAAATTTATAGGAATAGGAAGGTAAAGAAATATATATAATTTTTTTATGACTGATTAGTTATTCATAAGATAAACTTTAATTTGGTCGGTGATATATTTGGATCTGAATCTATATTGGGCTTTTAAAAAGTCAATATTGGTACTGATACAATATTAAATATCAGTTGATTAGAAATGGAAAGACTAGCCCTAATGACTAAGTTATTCATAATGTTTTACGAAAATACTTGGAAAGGTAAATTTTTAACGCACGATTAGGCCGGTGATATTGTTTTGAAAAGATTAAGCCTAAGATTTCATAGCTATAACTTATCCATAATAATTTATGAAAAATTAGTTTTGTAATTCAAACAACGTTTAACATGATTGAATGAAAAACAAGAATTCCACAACACCAACCTCGAATTATTGTTATAAGGCTAATGATAATGATGATGCTGACTATTTCTAGTTTTTATATGATTGTAATATAGTATTTATATTTATACCGTTTTTTCTCGTGCAGGGAAAATTTCTTTCTCCTCTCTTGCCAATCTACGTGAAGAATATTAGTAAAGGCAAGCATGGTAGTGATAGCGGTGCCTATGATGCACAAGGAAGGTAAGTCAAAGGGAAGTTTGTTGCGCATTGTGATTAAATAGCTTTAGAAGATTCATGTCATGATTTTTTCGAATGAATTTTTACTAATTATTGCTTTATTTAATTCCATACTTTTTTTCTTTAACGAAAGGAAACTCTCGAGTCATCGCACAAAACCATTTATTTCATCTTGCTGCACTTTTTCTGAATTTCCTTGAACAGTAGCATGCCTTGACTTAACCACTTGTTAGATAAATTTTCATTGAAAAGAAAAAAAAAAAAAAAAAGCTACAAACATAAATTATAGGAATCATTACATATTTACCTCTCAATTCCTATGTATTTACATATTCACACCTTACTTTCAATTTTTGCATACATAACACCTTACCTATGTATGAAAAGGTGTATATTTAACCGCCTTTGCTGTCGTACTTGTATTTGGCTATAATTTTTTACATACAAATTTACTAAAGTGTGCGTGTTAAAAATATATTTATACAATTTAAAAAATTATGTAATACTCATCATAATTAAAAAAAAAAATATTTTATTAATTGCAATCTCTAAATATAAACATGCTCAAAATTTATATATATATATATATATATATCTGTGAATTGAATAGATTAGCATTATTCATAATACATCAGATTTGTACCTGAAAAGTTTGAGGAGATATTTCAAAAGCATGCTCATACCAACACAAATGCATTGACTTCTGATGAATTGAAGGAAATGCTTCTATCTAACAGAGTTCCTAAAGATTACATGGGATGGTGAGATTTCTGTAATAAACTCAATTTAAAAATTTAAAATTTTAGTCTCTTTCTTATTCATTTATTTATTTGGTGTCAGGCTTGGCGCCTCTGCTGAGTGGAAGGCCTTGTTTTCCCTCTGCAAGGATGATAATGGTTTGCTTCCAAAGGAAACTGTAAGGGCTGCTTATGATGGAAGTCTGTTCTTCAAGATGGAGGAGGAGATATCATCTTCAAAGAGGAAGGCATGATCATGTAATGTGAAAAATAAAAAATTTATAAGCATTTATTTGAAAAAAAATAAAATAAAATTTGATTAGGATGTATCTCAAAGTTATTGAATTTATTTTTTGATGAATGTAAGTTAAATTTTAATTATGTGATCATTATGTTTTATGTTCATCTTTAGTAAATTTAATGATTTTGGACTTTATTTGATTCATTCTTTTTGTATTTACTTGCTTAATTATTCATGTGTATTTGTTTTTTCTTTGTTAGGGGCATTTAGATGCATACCATATAATTTTCATGCATTTACATATGTAACATCTAAACATTCATATTTGCATGCATATTACCTAAGTTTTTAACATCACATCAAATATCACCAGGATTAAATTTTTAATGATGAAATGCATACATATTGCATAATTCTTATGTATTTAAATATTTTTCACTTAAAATTTTAAATTTATATTTTTAAACATTTGGTAGCCTGACTAAACATTGCCGTTGCCGGTCCCAAGCCTGGATGCGAAAAGTGGAGGGTTGCGTTAGGTAATCGATAGCCAGCGTAAAATTTGTCGAAAAAAATCATGACATGAATCCTTTTGATTATTGTGTAACGCAATGGAGAAAAAGGATTCATGTAACCGACCCCACTTAGTGGGATTAAGCCTTTGTTGTTGTTGTTGTTGTTGTTGATTTTTAAACATTTGGTATCATCAACCTAAGCCTGAAAATGTGTATTTCATTTTTTTGAAAAGTAGATGATAGTAAATTAAAGATTTTAAACATTAAAATTTTGGTATCAGATTTATGTGTAAATATATAAGATTTGGGTGGTGTGTATGTAAATGCCTTTAAAATTAATTATAAAAGAATAAAATTTTAAAAATTGATGCATATGTTATAGTTTTTTTTTTAAAGCAGATAATAATTTTCTTTAAGCTGTCACACTAGAACCGGTAAAATTGTAATAAGTTACTTCTAATCACATAATTTTAAAAATAATAACACAATTATGGTAGCTAGGAGTGTAAACGAACTGAACACAAATGAACAGAGCTTGTGTTCGTGTTCAGTTTGTTTGAAATTTAGTTTGTTTGAAATAAGCTCGTGTTTGAAATTGTTCGTGAAGTCACTATTAGTGTTTGCTTCTTAACGAATGAGCTGACACGAGCTGTTCGGGAACGACGAGCCAGTTTGACATCCCTAATATTAATATATATAAATAATATATTATATTAATTATATAACTTATATAATATAAATATATAATATCTATATTAGTATATTATTAATATAGTATATTAATATATTATTATTATTAATTTATTATGAATTATAATTTATAAAATTTAATTTTTTTAAATATCATAAATTTTTATATATAATTATTTTAAATTATTTTAAATTTTGAATAATAACGATTCGAACACGAACGAACGCATCACTGTTCGTGTTTGGTTCGTTTAACTAACCGAACCGAAAAAATTTATTTACTTTCGCTCATTTACTTATCAAACGAATCAAGCAAGAACTCATTGACGAACCAAACATGAATTGTTCGCGAACAACTGGCTTTTTTGACGGTCCTAATGGTAGCTTGCTGAAAACAAAGCACTTCCCAAGGCTACAATAGTTGTTTGTGAAAATAGCTCAAGAATTATTTGTGAATTTTCTTTTAAACTTCTATGGGTATTATAACTTTTTTTCTTTGGAAGTTAAGACCAAGTTTCTTTTATTTATCATTTTTTTAAAATTTGTTAAGAACTTTTTTACATCATTTTTTTAAGTAATAATAGAGAAAGCCTTTTGAAAAAGTAAATATGAGAAAAAATCACCCCAAATGACAGACACTACACCAAAACTATCTATAATTGGAGGATATTTCAGTTGATTTATTATATCGGTTATTTATCAATCAAATATGAGGCTGAGCGTTGTATATGGATTTCTAGTTGAACAACTGATTGACTTTTGAGTTGAGTTAATGGACTGGCTAAAAAATTGTTAGTCATTTTAAGCCGACTTTTATTTCACTTGAAATTAGTCAATTTAACGGCTAAAATTAACTGCTGAATTGCTGAAATTTCAACCGTTAAATCTACCGCATGAAATTTTAGCCTATAATCAATAAGAAAGTCTGATTGAATCGAACCCTCGTGTCGAAAACCTCATTCTTTTCTCTCCCTTGATTTTCTCTCTCACCAACACAACTCTGCTCGGCTCTGAGAAGGATATAAAATTATTGAGGAATGTAAACCTCATATCTCTCCCCCTTCCTTCTTTACTTGACCACTTAGTACTCTATGGAAGTCCGTTTACCTCCTCAAGGGATATATAGTAGAGGAGATGATTATAGGAGTGGGTTTTCCCAGCTATTGCATTTAATGCGAGTGATGGAAGTGAGAGACCAGGGGAGGGGAAGAAGGGAGAAGAAAATGATCAGGTTTTACTATTTATTTTGGATTCCTTTGCTCATAATAATGGCAAGGAATCCAAAATTTATCACTCATTTCTTGTGTATTTACATATTTATCACTTCAATTTCTACGTATTAAGAGTTGGGTTATGGGCTTGGACCATGAGTTTTAGATTAGAGATTTAGGATTAAACATAGTTCTAATGGGTCTTAAATTCATCCTCTTTAATTAATTAATTCTGAGAATGAAAAATCGATCATAAGACCATGAGCTGACCATTTAGACCATAGGTTAACCAATTGGACCATGGGTTGACCAGAATGATCAATTTGACCCTATGAGGATTAGGTTGACCATAGGGTCAATGTGGTGTGAAGCAGTCAGTCCAGTCAATTTTTGGATTTTAGGTATTTCGGGTGGTGTTATTTTCGGGTGTTATCAGCATGGTATTGTGGCTTTATTAGCACAAAATCGCGGCAGTGGTGTTATTCGTAGTGTTATTAGTGTTGTATTGTGGTGTTATTAGCACAAAATCGCGACAGTGGTGTTATTCGGATGTTATTGGCGCGGTATTGTGACATTATTATTGTTAGTGGTGTTATTCGTGGTGTTATTGGCGCGGTAGTGTGGTATTATTATCACAGAATCGTGACAATGTTGTTATTCACAGAATTGTATGTTTATTGGCGAGGATTTACGGAAGCGATGTTACTGCTGTAATATCACACAAAACCGCGGGGTTATCAGGAGGAATTGTTGCGGCGGTGTTATGGTTGTAGTGTGGTAGTACCGCATTGTTGTTGCGGGATTGCGACAGTGCTATTGCAGCAGTACCACAGTTCTAAAGTGGTATTAATGGGCATAATGGTGGTGTTATGGTGGTATTATTGGCTCGAGTCTAGTCCAATTAAAGTCCAAACCCAGCCCATACTCCTTTCCCACTTTGATTTGACTTATACACATATGACATAACACAATTGATGGTTTGATGAGTTTTTAGGGATTGTCATGAGAGAATTTAGGATTCGAATTAGACAAAATTTTGATTTTGAAATTTGGGTGGATTTGGTAACCCTTAAAATTTAAAGTCAAACTTCTATGTTTTCAAAGGTACAATCCTAGTCTAGGATCATTGATAAGGTGAATATAATGTGCCCTCACAAAAGTGAGGTCAACACATGCAAATGAAGCTGGCTAATTGACTCGTTAGAGCGACCAGGTACTATGGCTAAGAGGGGTCGGTCAGGCTGGAGAGACCAACCGGTCCGAAGTGATCGGTTAACTGGGCCGGAGCGCCAATCATACCTAAGTGGTAGTTTGATCGAGCCAGGCGGCCGATCAGACCTAAGAAGTTGGTTGTCATGGCTGGAGCTGCCAGTTGGGCCTAAGTGACACATGTAATGTAGTATGCATACAAGCTCATGTAAACATTCGTGTTCAGTTGTGAGCTTTACTCGTCCTAGAAATCTCATGGGAAGACCCTAAAGGTAATTGATGGGATTAAGAGGGCATCACTGCAAAGCGACGGGCGACTGCTTCTATTTGCCCGGGTCAAAGGATTTTTGTTAAGGATAGCCTTCGCGGCATAGTAAACATCAAAGTCTTGAAACTTTCCGTTCTTTATGCACAAATGGCAGACTTCGCTCTTCTTGTCATTAGGGCAAAGTTGTCGGAGCAAACATAGGATTGAACGATCCCAACATTTTGAATTTGAGTCTAGAAAGAAAGAATAGGTTCACTCTTTAGATCCACAAGGGAAAGTCTGTGAAAGCTCCTAATCCTACATTAACTTCCTCTAAGCACAACAAAAAGCCCTATCCTAATGTCTCTAGGGGGCTCTAAAAAAAGAAATCACAGGGATCAAGAAGTTTCACCTTTGTGGCAGTTGTTTGTAGGGTGCTCATTGGTTGTTTGAGTTCCGGTGAAGCTCTAACAAGGTTTTTCCCGCCTCTTCTCCAAAGAATGACAAAGCTTTTCTCTACAAGGAGAGTTTGATAAGGTTTTGACAGAGTATCGAGCTCTGGCTAAGCTCGTCCTTTCCTAAAGTATGAAGAAGCCCTCCTTTGGTGTAACAGAGTAGAAGCCTTTCCTCAAGCTAGAATGAAGCTTTTCTAGCCTTGACTCAAGAAGTTTTCCACTGAAGAGGAAGAAGATGGCCTGAGAAAAAAGAAGAAGAAAGAGAAGAGCAACAAGGTTGTAGAAAACCAAGCCTTCTCTCTACCTTTCTCCCAAGCACTTTCCTTCTAGTCTCCAAGAAGATCTTCTAGCTCCAAAGAAGAAGAAGGTCAAGCTCTATTTCTCTCTCGGAAGAAGATGGCTAGCTCCCTCAAAACTTAATAATGATAAGAATTTTTACTTTCTAGGAGACAATGTATCAAAAGCCAACCACCCTCAAATTTCCCTCCTATTTTGCCAATTTGCCACCACACCTCATAAACTTTCAAAAAGGGTTAATCACCTCTTTATCTCCCCTAAGCAAATCACCGCATTGGCCAAGAAATCCCACAATTTTTCTGCTTAGGGAGGTGTGTCGAGTCAAAACAACTCAAAAATTTGAAAATTTCGCATTCAGAACTTGGACTAGCACCTAGGCACTCAGTTTGACTCCCTGACGCTCGGGCCTTGGAGCCTAGGCACCAGCAGGGTGGCGCCTACTTTCCTGAGGCTAGGGAAATGGCTATTTTTTTGTTATTTTGGGTGCCTAGGTATTGAGACCAGCGCCTATGCACTAGTAGGTTGGTGCCTACTTTTCTAGGTCTCAGGAAATAATTTTGGAAGGTAGTTTTGGGCGCCTAGATGCTCGTGACTAGCGCCTACGCGCCTATCTTGTCGAAAAACCCTAGTTTTCTCGTAGATCATCTGACAAAAGGTTTCTTCAGTCCATGAACTATAGTAGAGTGTTCCAAACCCTGATTTTTGCTCGGTTGATAGTATGAAGGTCCTCATCGATCCAGAAGCCATGGATAGTTGTGTATTGCTATAATTTGACCCTGTAAATCAGAAATGAACATTTTAAGGGTTTCAGAGTGTCACAGACCTCCGCGGGGTGGGGAGGGGGTGAAATCGGTAAGAACCTGAATTTTCCCAAAATGTACGTCGGTGATCTTGGCGACTAACATTGGCCTCAGAAGTCTTTGGATTGATGGAGTTTGGTCTCTAAAATTCAGAATGGATGTAAAGAACGTCTTGATTCAGGGCTAACATCACCTTACGGTTAATTTTCCTGGGTAGGATCAAGTCGGTACCGATCCCAATCTCGTGTTCTGAGCACGTACTAGGAGGTCCAATTGGATGTCTTGGATGGCTGGACGCTAGGCACAGTCCCGTGATGTTCAAATACGCACCTCTTATATGTGACATTAAAAATTGATGCCATCACTATTAATAATTTTATAACTATTGTTATAAATAAATGCAATATCACTGAGCAAATCATATATACTTCAATTATTGTTTTCTGTAATGTGGTATGAAAATCATAATTTTTTTTTAAATTAAAATTTTTTATCGCAATTTCTTAAAATTACAAAATTATGTTATCCTTTTTTTTTTAAAATTCTTTCTTTGTTTTTCTTACAAAATTCAACATGTTGTCCAACATTATTAAAGTTAAAAAAATTGGGTTAATAAACGATTAATATTATATTGTAATTTTTAATTATAACTTATCATATTTTTATGAATACAAAATATATACACTCAGTGGTATCATATTTTTATGTACTTTTAATGTCAATTCCTTAATATCTTCTATATTTGTATATGCCTCTATAGATGATGCCTCTTACACTTACACATTGGCTTTCTTATCATAACACAAATTTAATTAAAAAAAAAAAAGAAAACATAAGTTATTGCATTACCTTAAATTTAATTCAACTCATGCCATTCAAATGAATTGGTCAAAATGGATGTAATCTAGACTATCCCAAGTTAATATATAAGAATCCCATAACATAAATAGTCACTTAAGCTATATATCTATGCACATGTAAGATGATCTGCCCATGTCTAAAACATTACTCTAAGATAAACTTGATACATCTTATCGATGGACCCAAGCTCGCCAAGGATCACTTAGACTAACAAATACACCTAGCCTATGTTATTAATGGCAGAAATGATTGGATATTTGATTCATCTTGCTAGATAGCAATTCTAGCATTTCTGATGCATCTTTCATGGCATGACATGATGAATTTGCATGTTGTCTAACTTTTACCTTAATAAATATTATTAAAACATGTACTTCAAATGCGTGCATGTTCGTCATCAAACTAATTTAAGAACATGTTTGTCTTACCTTCATATGAGTTTGAACAATCTTTTATGTTGTAATTCTGAACCTATGAGTTTCTTTTAATATCTAAAAAAATCTCAGTCTTGATTTTAATGCATCCTTATACATTCTTTCAATTTATGAATATGAGGTACAAGTCTCATTTAATAACTTAAACAGTTCCCCCTTACACTCATAAGTTTATGAGACACTCTTGATCAACACGACTTATATTTATAGGCAAAAATCCTCCAGACTAAGAAAAAAATTATAAATTTTTTTCTAACCAAGTAGCCTGAGAGCTACAATGACTTAGAATGATGAATAACTAAGGAATATTCATTGGGGCCTTCCTCATTCCTCATAGACTAGGATAGTTCTTCTTCTCTTTAATTATGTAGACTACATTTTAGTTTAGATCACTTTCTAATGATAATGCTCATCTTTCTTAGGACTAGATATGCTCTTGAAGATTTGTCTCTCTTTCATTAAGTTCGAAACATTCTCCTCGATAATTTGTCAGCTCACCTCTTTTGTTTGAATTCATATTTCTGGAATTTTTCCCCTTTCTTAGAATGTTATCTCTTAGTGGTCATCTGTCGCCATTCTACTTATCGTATTTTCATAGGCTGTAAAGCTTTCATTCCCTATATGCTTACATGAACTATTATTTTAGGGTTTTATTTAGTGATCCATATGTTGTTTGATATTCTAGAATATAAGTCCCATCATGTCTCAAAAGCTTAATTATTGATTTTTATTTCTCTTGTGTGTCCTTATTCCAATATTATATTTCTCTAAATTAAATCAAATATTTTCTTATGAGAAGTACCTCTTCATATTTAGGATTTGGGTTATTTTAATCACAATTCTATAATTATGACTCCCACATCCCGAGATCTCTTTCATATCCTTCATCACCACTTAAAATTATTTTCACCATATAATTAGCCTTGTCATGCCTATTCCATCATCATGTACATGAAGGCTTTCCTATATGAATATTTCAGTACTCATTGATTTTGACTCATAGCTTCATTTTGATTATTTACATCTCTCTTTAGAATAGGCAAGTTTCATCAAATAATTATAAAAAAAATAGATAACAAGCAATATGCCTTAATCAAGAGTTTTATTGATTATTACCTATGATGTAATTAAGCTTAGAATAATATTTTTTGGGGCAAATTTAACCTTAAAAATTCAATTCAAAATATGAAAAAAAATCTATGGGAAACCAAATATTTGACTTGTATGTCATTTATATATGTGTTCATAAAATAAATTAGTCTGGGATCAACTTCTTATATCAAATCATTAATATCATCTCAAACCAACAATTCCCCTAATTTCAAATTCTATTTCTCAAATTAAATAAAAGTCATAAAACACTTAAGATATTAGTCCTACCATAACTTATATTTTAATTGATTATATTCCCTAAATCCTTACTTATGATAATGAGCAAATAAATTAAAGTAGTGGCAACTATAATTGCTAGATAATAACACAATTCTTTTGCCTTATAATCATTTTTTATGCTTTCTTATAAATATTAGGGTCTTCTCACAATTCATTTTGTTTATATGAATTTTAGTTCATTATAACTTAAAACAAATAAATAAACTTATATCAAGTTGGATAAATTATATGAAATTATTATTTCTTGAATTTATTAGTACTTTCATAAATATGAGTTAAAAAAACATTTAGATTTAGTAGGAGAAAAGGAATATATAAAAAAAAAATTATCATATTACACAAATTTTAAAATAAATTATAAATTTTAAAATATATCACAATTAAATCTTTGATTATAATATTATGTGTAAATTATTTTCCCTATATAAGAGTTATTGCTAGCCACATCCAATTTGCATTGATCTTTTTAGGTAAATCAAATTAAAGATGATAAAAACAATGATAAATTTATAAATATTTTATTCATCAAAATCAATTCAGAACCCGATTCAATGATGACTTTATTGCTCTCTTTGAGGAGAAAATTTTACGTCCGGATAACGCAGGTCCGGACGACCAATAATCGGGCGTCACGTCTCCATACACTTTGGCGTCGGACGACGTGGCGCCTGGCAGTTGGCCATCCGAATGTGTGGACGTCTCTTTGAGCCATTTAATAGCAAATATTAGATGTTATATAGGTACTTTATTATTTTATTTATTTTGTGTGTTTAAATTTTGAAAATTTAAAGTATTTATAGAACTAAATACAAAACTAACTATTATTTTAAATACACTTGAAAAACAATTTACTTCATAAAAAATGATTGTGTGCAATTTTTATGTATTTACATCTCAAACCTAAGCATTGATATTTAAAGTAAAATATGTGAAATTTCTACAAAAATAATAGTAATGATATTTTAATGTGATATTACAAATTTATATGATATGTGTACAAATATGAAAGTATTAAGGTTAGATATGTGAATACATAAGATTTGTGTGCCAATATATGTAAAAACCCCTTTAATTTTAAATATTTTAATAGTATTTAATAAAATTTTAATATTCTGAATTTTCAGGGAGTAGCCACGTTGAATATATATGGCACGCGTGCTTTCAGAGAACCCCCAGCGCCATTCCCTCTCTGGCCTTACATATACCGGAGGATTAGGGTTTCGGTCTGTAGGAAGTCATCGAGGCAATCAAGCTCCGATTTGCATTTCATGGCGCTTGAATGGGTAGTCCTAGGCTGCGCAGCCGGCGCAGAAGCAGTCATGCTTCTCCTCCTCACGCTGCCTGGCCTCAACCGTCTCCGGCCTGTTCTTGTCACCGTAATCCGGAACGCGCTGAAGCCGATGCTCTCAGTGGTTCCGTTCTGTATCTTCTTGTTATTGGACATATATTGGAAGTATGAGGTGCGTCCGATCTGCGATAACGAGCATGAGTGCACCCCAACGGAGTTCCTCCGGCATCAGAAGTCGATAATGAAGAGCCAACGCAATGCGATTCTCATTGCCTGCGCTTTGCTACTTAACTGGCTCCTCTTGGCTGTTACCAGACTCGTTGTTCAAATCGACCATTTCAGCCAGCAGATTGAGAAGCTCAAGAGGCAGGATTGAGCCGTAGATCAGAGTAAGAATAAGGGATCAAGGAATGAGGACTTCCGATTGTTAACTTTTCCCAACTATTTCCTGTATGTGTTTTCTTTTCTTACTTATGCTGATTGATGGATTTGTGTATCAAGGTTCTGATTTGCCTTTAAAATAACCTTGCTCCATCTTGATTTTGTTTTCTTGACTTGCTTTGAACTTTAGCTGTATATACACTTGTTGCTGTTATGAATTTTGAACTTGTTGTTTATATTACTGCTGTTGTTTGATATATGTCTTTGACTTGCTTTTTGGATATCTGTAGAATTTAGTTAATAATGCAAATCTGGATTTTGTATGTCCTGACAGGATTAGAACGTAGAAGTTTTTTGACATCCCAAATATCAAATTTTTATTGATCCTGATAAACTTTTTTTGTTTCAAATCTTAAGACTTGTAAGAGAAGAAATGTTTAATTCATAGAATCATATAAATGGTGTGATTAATAGTATTATTAAGCCATTAAAGGAATGAATTGGCAGATTATATTGTTCAATCTTGATTGAATGATACCATCATCCGTTGAATGATTTTGTAAGGTAAAACATATACTATAAGTTATCTATTTTGTCGCATATAAAACATTAGCTTAATGTAAAATATCATATAATTAGTTTTGCAAATAAAATTAAGAACTATTTGATTTTAAACCAAGCATTCATATAATTTGTGTTCAGTTTTGTAATGTGTAATATTTATCAAAAATGAAATGGTTTAGTGAATATATCTCCTAACTTTCTGCATACAAATTTGTTAATCACAATTCCTTCAAAACATGATTTCTGATTAATTGATTGAGAATGCCAATTTGTTTTTTTGCATGATTGTAGAATTGAGTTCTTAGTATGAAATATTGTGTCTGGGGTACGGTGTACCTGTTAGTTGTCTAATTATTTGATTGACTGATCAAATGTATTTTCTTAATGTTTATTTGGTAATGGGCTCAGGAGCAGTGATTGATTTTTAGTCTACTTGTAGAAAGGTATACCAAAAAACTTAGGGGCATTTACATAAATACCATACAATTCTTCTATATTTACATATCATACACCTAAACATTAATATTTGTATTCATAGCACATAAATCTTCAACTTCACATTTCACTAAATTTTTAGAAATCAAATGCACCTTTTTATTGTTTATGCATAGTAGCGCTAAGGTGTTGTAACTGTAAATATCTAATTTTAGGTGTTAGATATGTAAATCTATAAGAATTGTGTGGTACTTATGTAAGTTTTCTAAAACTTAGCATGTATCCAAGCAGCTTTACATACATCTATATATTTGTCATGAGTAATCTTGCCGCTGACAAACTCATAATCAAATAAACCAACGGTATCAAGAGTACATGTAATTATAAGATATCTAAATATGTGTTTAATTGATATTTTATCATGTAAAAACAAAAAAGTGTTAGATTTTCCCTCAAAAAATAGCAATTGGAATAATTTTTTCTTTGTTGCTAAGAATTTGGATTATCTGAAGCTTCAATAGAAGTCACTTTTTGAGTTCCTTGAATCTGATCTTATTAAAAAATCTTGGGGCATTTACATAATACCATAAAATTTTTGTGTATTTGCACATCTAACACATAAGCATTCATATTTACATGCATATCACTTAAATCTTTAATAGCCGCATCAAAAATAGGACCAGCACTTTCTTTTTAAAAGTGAAATGCATATTTTCATGCAGTAAGTGTAAATATCAAACTTTGAGTGTTGAATATGTAAATACATAAGATTTGTGTGGTGTTTATTTAAATTTTTCAAAAAATATTTCTCCAAGCACGTGATATTCCGTTCAAAATCATAGTTAAATGGGCTTTGATTGAAAATGTTGAGGATGTTCTAAAATTTATTCTATTATAAGATTATGGGAGGAGGAACCACGTCGTCATTAGTCTACCATTAGTGTTTTAGCCACTCAGGAGGACGTTATAAATGCTGCTATCTCCTCTTCTGACATTTTCCATTACAGTACCCCATTTTCCGGATATTTACAAGACTCTGTTCTAGTTGATGGATTGTGGTCTTTATCTAATCAATAACTGTTCATTTCCAATCTTTCTAACAGTAATATTAAGGCTCATTTATTTCCTAGGCCTAACGGTTTCACATCTAATATTTTAAGGGGCATTTACATACATAATACACTGCACACATTATGTATTTACATGTCTCACACCCAAACTGATATTTACACTCAAAACACTAAAATCTTTAATATCACATAAAAAAAGATCATTATTACCATTTTTTAATAGTGAAATACATCAAACACATTTTATTGCAAATTAAAATACAAATAAAATAAAATAAAATAAAAATAAAACTAAAGAACAAAAATCATCCCAAAGTAAAAGGATGTTTTACCTCTCCTTTACTCTTTACTCTTATTATGGATATGCTATCATATTCGATTGATCTTCAATGCAAGGAGTTTTCTTATTTGCGACTATGCCTTGGCCTTTCATCTCATATGTGCTGCTTATATTTGGTAGAAATGTCATACATACCACTTAATTCTTATGTATTTATATCAAGACCTAAACTTTAATTTCTACATGCATGTCACTTTATGCAAAATGATTATACCCGTGATAGGGTTGGTGTAGCTCCAGTGACAGAAAAAAATTAGAGAGAGTCATCGTAGATGGTTTGGTCACATTAAATGCTGACCATCTGATGATCCGATTAGGAGAGTAGATGTTTTACATTCAACTTCTGTTAAGAAAGGTATAGGTAGACCTAGAAAGACTTGGGCATATTGTATAAAAATGATCTTAATTTATTAGAATTAAATGAAAATATGACACTCAATGATGCAATGGAGAGAAATGATTTATGTAGCCGACCACACTTAAGTGGGATAAGGGCTTGTTGCTGTTGTTGTTGTTGTTCAATGTCACTTTATGCATGAAAAAGTGTTTTTCACTTTTAGAAAGTTAGAATGGTGGTATTTTTGATGTGGCATGAAAGATTTGGTATAAATATATGAAACAAAGTTTAGATGTTAGATGTATAATTCATAAGATTTGGGGTAAATGCCCCCAAGATGTTTTTCACATCCTGCAACTACTGACTTTGCTTGCCATTATTGATTCCTTCATTGAAAATTCCTGGATCAATATTTATTCTTCTAAATTATCTGCAATGGGTTTTGCTCATATTCTGTGTAGATTCAGGGATTGGCTCAACAGTTTGAAGAAAAAGTTCAGGCTGCCTTCACTGTAAACGAATCGAGATAACCTCATGTCACCTTCGGATTAAATTTAAGTTTGATTAATTAATTGCGTTCAAACTCGAGCGTAAGTCCACAAATTTGATTTACCTTTTGTATTATGAAACAAAGAATATAGTATTAATTTAAGCTAGTATTTTAGTAAAATGACAAGTACGATGAGAAATTTAGAAATAAATAAAGAAAAATTAATATAAAATATAAACTATTATTTTTAATATGTTAAATAATATATTTTATATATGTATTTTTTAAATGAGCTAGCGAGTTCAGTTATAATTGGCTTGAGCTTGGCTTCTTTGTTGGCTTTAACAATTACTTGAAAATTTTTCTTCAGATTATGAAGTAGGAAGTGTGCTTTGTGGCGTCTAGGAAAAATTTTCGGTCCGTAGAGAACGTTTTGTTAATGGTGGTTAACCCAGACAAAAAAAGCGTAACATAAATTATACTTATTCAATCGGTAGTTAGTATAAAAAATAATAATATCCCTAAAACAATCGTCATCAAGTCTACATGATTTATCACTCCACAAAAAGCTTGTCAGTCTGTCGTCTTCATTAGTTTGGAAGTCACACGCAAACATGCTATCCTCAGTTTGCATGTCCATGAACATTTGTAACAGAGAATTGACATAGTCTTGTTCAATTCTACTTCTTCTTTCTCTTTGAATAAAGTTGTAGGCATCTTGTTTCATCCATTACAAGTTTTCTACTCCCCCAACCTCTTTAGCAAGGAAATTAAATTTGTCTGCTGCTCTAATTCCTGATTCTGTCATTGTTCTTAGTAAATCTGCATTTAACTTGCTAATCTTTCTATTGGAACACAGAAGATGTTTATCACCGACTTCTGTTAATGGGTGTTTATGACTTTCTACAAATTTCTTAGTTGTCTGGTTCCGTTAACATCGATAACATATCGTACAATGGCCTTACAGTCTGTCCTTGTCTCTGCTTTTTTGTACTTAATCGTATTAGTGAATTGTGATTCTTTTTTGCTAACAGTTTTTCCACAAATATAATCTTTTGTCTTAATTTGTTTTGAGTTACGCCAACAACTGTTGTGATCCTTACGAACAGTGAATCCAACATTATGTGCATAGGCGCAATAGATTTCATAAGCTTCTTGCTCATTTTGGACAATATTAAGAAAACTATCAATAATTGGATCATTGCAAATATTGCAAATATTTCTGGGCTTAGAGAACTACAAGTTTGCATTATATAATAAAGATGGTCATATTTGCACATAACACTACACTCTAAACACTAATATGTCAAACGATTGATAACAAATTGACAACACAGTAATACCCAATTAACACAACAATAACACCGGGATAACACCAACATAGAACAACAATAATATTTGGTAGTTATTTTGGGTTAACGTAACCTCTATATAACCCTAGAATAACTCGAAAAATAATTTAAAGTAATTGGAAAATTATTCTTGCATTATTATTGGAGATTTTTCGGGTTATTCAGGAATCAATTTGGAACTACTTACATGGCTATTTTAGAGGTTTTTTAGAGTTATTATGTGATTATTGTTGGGTTATTCTAAGAATAATTAGGAGTTAATTTCAAATTAATATCATACTTTTTTAGGAGTTATTTAGGGTTTATTGTTGGGCTATTATGTAGTTATTTAAGAGTTCTTTTATGTTTAGTTTCGAGCTTATTATTGTGTTGTACTAGTTATATTTGGATTATTCTGGGATATTGAGGAGTTAGTCTAAAACAATTTTATGTTTTTTTGAGGTTATTATGGGGTTATTGTTGGGTTATTCTCGGGTTACTTAGGATTATTGTAAAAATAACCCGAAATAATCACAAAATAACCATTAAATAATTTGAAAATAACCCCACAAAAATCTGAAATTAA